TAAATGTGCATACATAATCCATGCATGTACATTTGGAGAAGTTATACTTTTGCTGCCATCTTTGTAGAAGAACCTGAGACCTTCTGGATTCCACCGAGGGACAGTTCATATCCTGATGGCTGAGACTCTTTAAAGGGGTGATTTGTTTTGATGATTGCATGCAACACATAGGCCTGAAGCTGCTTTGTGAAGCAAATTGTCCATCAAACTGAAGGCTGAAGTGACTAGAAGGTGTTATACATACTCTAATAGTCCTAGCCAAGTTTTGGTGAATGCTGCTTCAAAAGAACTTTCTCTAGACTGCTTACCAAAGTTAGAAACAGGAACACCATGTGTAGAGAATGTTGTTATTTCTCTTTTCCAGCATAGTTTCCCTCAAACTCTTTGCTAAACGATGACAGATGAGGCAAGGGACACGTCCTCCAACATGGCTCACAAAAAGCTTTGGCAAGCCATGCTGCAGAACATATTCTTTGCTTCCCCACCATTTTCTTGGCAAAGCCCAAAGAGACTTTTGCCCAGGCACACAGCTGGTCTAGAAACTACCTCTAGCTTTGGCAAATGGCAGATAGGAGACAGAGAGAGAGAGAGAGAGAGAGAGAGACAGACAGACAGACAGACAGACAGACAGACAGACAGACAGACAGACAGAGACAAAGAGACAGACAGAGAGAGACAAAGAGACAGACAGACAGAGACAGACAGAGAGACAGAGACAGAGAGTGAGTTCAAGCCAATTACATTATTCTTTTATTGTGAATCTAAGACATGCCTAAAATATAGGAATTTGCAGGTAAGAACCTTATGTCCTGTCCCACAGCTTGATGTCAGCTGAGCTATGGAACTAGTCTTCTTCTTGTTGTTGTTAGTTGCAAAGTCATTTCTGACCCATCGCGATCCATGGACAACATTCCTCCAGGCCTTCCTGTCCTCTACCATTTAAGCTCACGCCTACTGCTTCAGTGACTCCATCCAGCCACCTCATTCTCTGTCGTACCCTTCTTCTATTGCCCTCAATCTTTCCCAGCATTAGGCTCTTCTCCAGTGAGTCCTTCCTTCTCATTAGGTGGCGAAAGTATTTGAGTTTCAACTTCTGGATCTGGCCTTCTAAAGAGCAGTCAGGGTTGATTTCTTCTAGGACTGACTGGTTTGAATGCCTTGCATAGAACTAGTCTTACTACTAGTTAAAATGAAGGAATTATTTTGACTTGTAGGTCATGAACTGGGTTCAAAACCCAACTACTGCCCTCCTGACCTATTGTTGCTGCCTTCTAAGTGTTATTTTATGAGACCTCAGCAGACCAAGTGGGAACCTAGCAGTGATTTCTACTTGAACAGTTCACAATGACTCACAGATGCTTGGGTGCTATGATTGGGAAGGTTTTCTCATAACCATCTGTGATCTTCACAGAATGATATGCACAAGATAGGAAGATGATTGGCCAGAGAGTGATTGGGGAAGAGATGGATCCTCTTGGCTCTATCATGGATCATTTAGGATATTCCAAACTCATATGATAGCATTTGCATAATATATGAAACATTGAAGAGTTTAATAAAAATTGTTCACTTCTCAGCTCTGACTCACATCGTGGCATCTTGAAATTTTAAGTGGGTATACATAAATAAACCAGAATGTATGTTTCATTGGCAGTGATCCCTGTCTGTTTTAATGAGAACAGCAATGTGAGCTAAATAATCCTGGCTAGTATCTTTCTAAATGGATTTTAGGAACTTTGGAACAAAAGGCATGGAGGAATGCTTTAAATCCATTATGAGGTTGACTTGCAGACAAACTTACAAAAATGAAAATTGCTCAGTTACCGTGCAGAAAATAAACAAACACCACTCAAATTAATCAGTTCATTTGACTGACTATTCCTATCTACTTGGCATTGTTTGGTGCTCTCCCACTTCTATAGATGCGAACTGGAACGCATATATATGCAATAAAAGTGATACTTTTCAGAATATAGGACGTGGCTTGTAATTAAAAAAGTTCAAGCAAAAGTATGTGTAGTAGGGGAAATTTGCTTGCAGAAAATGTTGATGCCAAGAAGCGTATATTCAAAAATGCGTACATTAGCAGGTGTAAACATAAATAATTCATTTTCAAAACATATTTTTACTTTGTTGATTTCATAAAATAATGGATAGAAATGAATTAGCAGTAAGGAAAATTAAGAAACCGAAGACAAACAAAATGCATAGATATGCCCACTCCAAATCCAGATTGAGCAATAAACCTGATAAAATCTAGAAAATATGTAATATTGAGATCCAGGGATGCATTTTGATTTGCATTTCCTTAAAATAAAATTGTAGATATCTAAAGGCATCATGCATGAAATTGGCGTATTAATTGAATTTGCCTTCCCTCAATCAGAACATAGAATTTGTGGTAAAATGCTATCTAATCCAGTCTAATCCAGCTACTGTTTGATTTATGCATATTACTGATGGATGTAGGAC